AGGTGCCACCGGCTGCCCTGGGTGTCCCAGCTCATGGAACAGAGAGCAGTTGCCATACTCCTGTGGCTGAGGAGGAGGTGGGCATCCCGATACCAGCACCAGGGCTCTTGCAGGTCACAGAGAGGAGGCGTAAGTATCACTGACCAGCCCTGTGTCCTCTCTGGGGACCCCTAGCTGCACAGGGAACAAAGCAGCCTGGCTCTAGAGGGCAAGGACACGGTGTGAGGCGGTCTGGCCATGCTGAGCCCTTAGAGTTCTCACGACTTTGGCTCTCCGGCCTGTCCACTCCTGACTGCAGAGCAGACCACCCGGGCCTGTCCTGCCCAGGCTCGTCCTGGGCTGGCACTACAGAAAGCTCTGGTTCACTCGTGGGCCTGTGGGAAGAGGCGGTGCACTTTCCTAGGCCCCCTGGGCTCTCAAGAGCCTTGTTGGGACTGTGAGGTGACCATCTTCTTGTACCCCAGAGCCCCTGAGCAGCGTCTCCTCTCTGGAGGTCCATTTTGACCTTCTGGATCTCACCGAGCTGACAGACATGTCAGACCAGGAGCTGGCCGAGGTCTTTGCCGACTCTGATGAGGAGAACCTGACCAGTGAATCTCCAGCAGGTGAGGCATGCGGGTGGGGGAGGGTGACTTCTCCCCAGTCCTGCCAGGTGCAGTGGCCACCTGTGTACTCCTAGCAGTCTGGGAGGCTGAGGCAGGAAGATCCCCAGATTAAGGCTAGCCTGGGCAACCTAGCAAGACCCCATCTCCAAGAGCTGGGGGTGTGGGTCACCGGAAGTGCACTTGCCTAGCAGGGGCAGGCCCTGCATTCAGGAAAACGTGTGGCCAACACATGGTCTTACACCAGCTTCCCAGCATGAAGGAATTTCCCTCCTGTCAGAAGTGCTCTGCTCAGCTTTACCTTTCCAATGAACAACCAGAAGCCAAAGCCACAGTCACTTAAAAAGTATTTATTAATGTAAATTTCAACGTTAGACTGAACACAAGGTGGGGTCGGGTAAATCTGGCAGCTGGGCTCCTCTTGGCTCACTGACTGGGTTCCCCCCCACTGGTTCCCAAGGAGGTGCTGACACTGGCTGGAGACCCCAGGCCCTTCCCTCTGCCCGCCTCACGAGCAACTCTCCTGGGCATGCCATCCTCCTGTCTCTACCCCAAGCCCTGTCATCGGAGTTCGGGATCCACCCTAGGGGGACACAAATGTTCTTCAGTCTGTCCCCAACAGTGAAGGTCACTGACGTGACCTGCACCCAGTGCTCCCAGACAGGCCCAGACCCTGCACCTGTTCCACCCCCAGGCCCAGGCTGGAACCTACACACTGCACCCATGGCCCAGGCTAAACCTGTACACACACACACACACACACACCCTGGGGGCCTCACTAAGGACAAGCCCTACTGAGGATCTTGTCAGTGACCAGCCACCCACATGTTCCCTGGAGGGGCTGATGGGGGAAGGGTTTATGGGGAGGGGCAGACTGTGTCTCCCTGGGGAGTCCAGGCTCCTCAGCATGACAGTGGCACCAGGGAGGGGGGCAGGGTGCAACAGATGGGTGACCCTGGCTCAGTCCTTGTGAACAGCTTGTCCCAGCTTACTTCCCAGACAAGCTACCTGCCTGATCCCAGCCAATTCCCACCAGGCTCAGTGTGTCCCAGGCAGTGGCCCTTCCAACCCATAAGCCCACAGGTGTGTGCGGGGTGAAGGTTGGCCTGTGGCTGCCGTGGCTAGCCCACCTGAACCTCTAGCCCCAGACAGCCCACAGGGCCCCAGGCTGCACTGGGACACTGGGAGCTTTGGGGAGGCCCCGCCAGGTTCACTAGGAGGGGGCCAGAGTTAGGTTCACATAATAGGGGTCAGACGTGGCAGAGACTGCAGTGACTCTGAGGACACCAGAGGGGTCACCTGTCCACATCTCTGTATTCTGTGCACATCCCCACCCCAGCCCACCCATGGCAGACCCAGTGTTAGAGACTTCCATGTGCTAGGCACAGGGGGTCCAGGGCAGCAGCTGCAGCCGGTGACTCTGGGCTGGCAGAGTGGCAGCCACATGTGCCCACCAGAGCATCTGGTCTGCTTCCATCAGGTCTACACCCGCTGCCTAGGGCTGGCTGTCTGCGTTCCCCCTCTTGGACGAAGACAAGGGCTGAGCAGAACCGTGAGAAGCAGCCCCTCAGCGACCCAGAGCGACAGGCTGCCATCGTGGACACATTTCTCACCGTGGAAAGACCCAAGGAGGATTAGGCCAGTTCCATCTGCCCCAGACACCACAGGGCTGAGGCTGGACCACCACCAGGATGGCAAAGCAAGACACTTCAGACCCAGGACACGCTCCGCCCCTCCACCCTCTCCACAAGGCTCCTGACAGCAGGTCAGGGTAGGGTTGCCAGGGCAGGCCTCAGGTCAGCCCAGCACAAGCACAGCCCAGTGGCCTTACATCCAGCTGGTTTCTGGACCCTGGAGCAGGGACCATACCACCTGGAGTCACTGCTTGAGGATGAAGCAAAGAATGAACAATGGTGGCCTAAACCTTCTGGAAACTTCTGTGTCTAGGAGCAATGCTCTTTGCCAAAAGATTGCCCAGTATGCTTGGGTGAGGGGGATCCGAGCCTGTGAGAGCCTCTCCAAAACCACCTGGGGTCTCCAATCTCAGCATCTCTTCATGCCACCATGCTTGGAAGCCACAGTGGGTTTGGCAGTGGCTCCTGGGTCACTACACCGCCCCCAGCCAAGCATGGGGGGAGGCTCAGTCCAGAAAACATCCACCTTGATTTCAACCTTGTCCCTTCCCCTCTGTCCAAGGAAGGCCTGTTGGTACCAGGTCTCCCCGGCCCAGGCACCCCTCTACAACTTGTGCCTGCTTCTCTTGGTCCCCGGGTACGAGAGCCTGGGGCTGAGGGCCTGGCCCACCTCCTCTTTAGCTTAGAACACCAAATATTGCCAGACTGCCTCAGAACCTCAGCACCACCTCCCAGACTGCTCGAGGGGGAGCGGCGCGCCCTCTCCCATCCCACCTCTATTACAAGGGCACCTAGCTTTGTCCGTTTTCCACATCCCGCTGCCCAGCCCCAGCACAGCCTATCAAACACACTCTGTGACCCTGGGACCAGATCCTGGGAATATTCCAAGGAGGGGCAGGGAAAGCAGGGCCAACAGGCCTACTCTCTGCTGTGGGGATGTCCTAGGCACCCAACCCAGCTGCTCCCAAAATTCCTTTTTATGTGTGAAGAGACCCAGAATAGTCTTCTGGTCTGAATGTGAATCAAAGACTGGTTTTGAAAAAAACTGTAAGCTTGCTTTGTGTCCCCCAGCCAACCTGCCCTGCTCTGCTCCACACTGAAGCGTTTCTGGGGAAGGAAGACAGGCCCTTGATCTTCATTTTCACAGGTCTCTACTAGAGGGATGCACGGGGCTTCTGCCATGTGCTGGGGACATCCAGGAGACTCCCACCTCTGATCCTTCACCCCACCTCCAGGTACTATTGGCCTCTGAAGGAAAGTCCAGTTCCTGCCTGACCAGGTCTCCGATTTCCAGTGGAAAAGAACTGAGCAGCTCTCTCTTTCACCTCATAAAGGCAGCTGTGTGCCCCAGGGCTCCCTCCCCACTTCCCACCCTTTGTGCTGCATCCACTGGGGGGCACGCTGAGTGGGATTAAAGTCCCGCCACCCTCTGAAGGCCTGAGCCAGGCTCTTCCTTCCAAATGCCACAGGCACACCAGGCCTGCTGTGGGTGAGGGCACTGGCCGCTCTCCAGCTGCACTGTGCGCCAGGCTGCTTGCTGGGTTGCATTTTAAGGACAGTGCCCTGATTCCTATCCCCTAAGACAGCAAAAGGAATTCTTTGGAATAAATGTCCTGCCCACACAAGCCCACAAAGGTGGTCCCTGGTGATCAACCTTCCCAGCAGGGCCATGTCCTGAGAGAGCCACAGTAAGGCCACTGGCAGGCCAGGGATGAGGCCCAGCCAGGTCTGACCTGCTTTCTGCCTGGCCCATACGTTTGCATTCTTCCTCAGCACAAAGCTGCCCTGTGAGGCTCCAGAAGGGAAGCTTGGACCCTCCCTAGCAGAAAGCCAGGCCTTCTGTGTCTAGACTCAGAAATAGACTCGTGCTTTCTGGGAAGGGGGTGACTCCTGACACTCTCTGACACATCCCATAATAAGTTCCCTTCCCTCAGGCAGCTGAGGACATGGACCTGGATGCAGACCCTGGTCAAGCACAGGCCCTACTAGCCTCACCTGCTCCCAGTTCTAACCGGGAGAAGGGCTGCTGGCTCCCGCCTCCTATAGGCTCATTCATCTGGCAACTCGTTGGCATGCGATTTCTGTGGCAGAACGAGCAGCACCCACAGGACTACAGGATGACCTCACTGAGTTGGGGTGGACAAGAAGACCGTATCTATTCTACTGCCAAGGCACCACCCTGAACCCAGACTGTGCTAATTACTGAACACCTTGTGCAAGACACACGGGGGTGGGGGACTGGACCAAACAGGTAAAGAGGGTCGAGGGAGACACCGAGGAGCTGGCCCGACTGTGTTCTACCAGGAGCAGCTCAGGTGTGCTTAGAAAGAGGACCTGAATGCACAAGGCAGACTCGGACCCTGGAGGCCCCACCACAGGGGCCTGGCGTTGAGGGCGCACCCTTGGCCTCCATCAGAGGGAACCCAAGAGGTCCCCAGATGCCTCACCTCATCTGGGTTTGGTGAAGACCAGGATCTAGGCGGAGCCTGAGATTTAAAAATTCAACAACGTACATTTTGCAATCTGTGAAAGCTGAAAGTCAGAGTTTGGCCAGGGTCTGGAGTGTGGGGCAGCAGCGGAACCTCCTCTCAGAGGGGCACCCAGGACGCTGGCCAGCAGCCTGCCAGATGCGCCTGCCAGCTGAAATGGCTCACACCCACACCTGTGACACAGGAGGAAGCCCACTTTCACTAAGGCCCACTCAGCCACACTGAGCCCCAACAGTAGGGGTCCTCAAACCCCAGGACCAAGGAAAGGGGGACACTTTCAATTCAGGGCATCATGAGGTCTGGAGCTCATGACCCGGAACCAGTCTTCTTTTTATTGAAAAAGATAGAGGAGGATTAATAGAGGCGGCATCTGCAGAGGCTTCAAGGCCCTACAAACCCTCCCTCAGTGCTGTGGGGAGGCCATGGGGGATCAGCCCAGACCCTCCCCTAAACCTCCACACAAGGGATTTGGGGGAAAGCAGAATCTCTACTCATCGTGGTCAGTAAGGCATGCCCACCCAGGGCCCAGGCCCCAGATGGCGCCCTATGACCCCTGCCTTCAACTCAGGGATACAAGTGTGGTGACGTTTCCTTTTTGGTTACCAAACCACCACTCTCCCCCATACAATGGCCACTGTGGACCCAGATGTCCTTGGTAACTAACTGGCTTACCACTTCCTTTTCTTTACCTCACCAAACCTTGGGGTATCTGTGCTGGGCCAGACTCTTCCTCCAAGCCATTTTGAGACAACCCACCTTCACACCTCCCCACGGACAGGCTCACTAGGACACTGAGGGCCTGTCTCCACCACAAGATCAAGATTCCTAGTGGCCACTACACCCAGGGCTCCCCAGGAAGATTCTTGTCCTTCCTTGGCTCCCACGGGTCAGAGCCCAGATGTCTCTCCCTCTGACCAAAGTCACCCTAGGAATGAGGTCCAAGGGCTGGAGAACCTCGTCTGCCCCTTCAGCTACCTCCTCTCTGGTGGCTGCCAACTCCCCTCCCTCTCCTCTCTAGACCGTGAGCACCTGATCTAAGATGTCTGTCTGGGGTTGTCACTTATTTTAATTTGTTTTCCAGTTACTCTGGCAGCTGTTCTGCAAAAGCTCTGGGTAGCAGCTGCTGCCTGAGAGCCCAGCCATCGTGACCGCAGGTGGCTGCACACAGGCCATGCAGGGCTCTCCTGCAAGTGCTGCTCTGTGCCCCCCCCTCCCGTCCCTGGTTCCAGCCCTTCAGGCCCTCAGGAAGCGATGTATCCTCCTCTAGGCTACCAGTGCCCTCCACGAACTCCTCATAGGTGCACTTCTCCACGAAGGGCCGAGGGCCCAACAGCTCCACCATGTCGGCCTTCTCCAGCACTTCTTTTTCCAGGAGCCGCTTGCCTACCTGGAGATGACAGTCCATCTGTCAGGCTGCTACAAGGGGACTCCCTCCCATTCCCTGGCCATAGGTCCCCCTCACCTTCTCCACCTGCTCCCGGCACCTAGTCAGCAACTCCAGGGTGCGGTCGTAGGCAGAGCCAATGAGGCGCCGCACCTCCTCATCAATAAGCTGGGCTGTGGCCTCACTGTACGGCTTTTCAACCAGGGCTTCACCTTGCTGGGGGATGTCGAAGGACACCTGGCCCAGCTTCTCACTCATCCCAAACTGCACAATCTGCAAGTACAAAAGGAGCAGAGGGTGAGCCGCCCCCAACACAGCCACCAGGAGCCACTCACAGGACAGCTGTTCTTTACCTGGGCATAGGCGCTCTGGGTGACCTTCCTCAAGTCATCCTGAGCCCCAGTGGTGATCTGCCCAAAGAACAGCTGCTCAGCCACCCTGCCGCCCAGCATCATGCACATGCGGTCAAAAAGCTGCTCCCGCGTATAGAGGTACTGCTCACGGGGAAGGTACTGGGCGTACCCCAGCCCCTTGCCCCGGGGGATGATGGACACCTGCAAAAGAGGGGCCACAAGCTCGTCAGTCCCCCAGCAGCACCCCAGTGCAGCCCAGACACACCCTCTCACAGCCCTGGCCAGGGGCTCACCCCTTACAAGTTGGAGAAGACAGCCCTGGGCCTAAGCCCCACCACCGACAGGAAGTGTCACCCTGAGCAATGCACTGGCCCTGCCTAGGGGCTCAGCTCAAGAGGTTGCTATGGAAACCTCTTCTGACAGGGATCAAATCCAACGCTCAGGAGCAAAGCAAGTTCTGGATTGACTTCTCAGGAGTCAGTGGCTGAGGCCCAACCTAGAGCCAACACACCCTGCTCTGCCTTCCTAATGCTTCTTCTCCCCCTGCCCCCACAAGGAATCTAACAGACTCAAGAACAGCACATTCCTTGAAAAATAAAAGGGTCACCCCCAGGAGGGCTGTGCCCACATGAACTGGCTGGACCGCCAGGCACACGAGCAGGTAACTCCTAGGCTCCACGGGCAGACACACTCAGCACAAGAGACCCACCTTCAGCAAGGGGTCTGCATGCTCCAAGAACCAGCCTACCACTGCGTGCCCTGCCTCATGGTAGGCCACGGTTGTCTTTTCACTGGGCTGCAAGACCTGAGTCTTCTTCTCAAAGCCTACAAATCACATTCCCAGGTGAGTGAGAGGCAGGGGAAAAGCCCAACCTACACCCCACCAGACTGAGGGCCTGGATCTGCTGCCACACTCGATTCCCAACACCCACCTGGGAGTCCCTCCCTCTAGGGCACAAGGTGGCAGAGGCCTGGGCTGCCCCAAACTGTAGCTCCACGCTATGTCCTAGTTCTAGGGGACATTCCCACCCAACCTCCCTGCCCCACCCTACTGCCCACTCCTCAGGCACAGGCTGCTTCAAGAAGCAGCTGTGAGCCAACGTGAGTCAGAGGTACTGTGTCCTTTCTGGGGCATGACAAGAGGCAAAACCCAAGCATGGTGGAACAAAGAGGGCAGTTCCCAAAGATCTCACAGCCCAGCCCCACAGTGACAGGACAGAGAAGCAAACAAGAGCAGCACATGTTGAGCTGCATGGGTCATCAGCCCCCAGAATGCCCTTGACAAATTCTGGGTTTTGCTTTGAGCTACTTAGTAGATATTATATGTCAAAAAAAAAAAAAAATCACATGAAAACAAAGCTCAAGGATAACCTCCCAGCTGGCTGATTTTGTCTCAGCATGGGGCAGGACCATCAGGATGTGCTCCTGCTGCTTCTACAATCTCCATTTCCAGGAACAGCACCAAGAAGAGCCAGGCCAGCCCATGCAGCCTCTGGCAACTCTGGTGGCCCTACAAGACCCTGACCCACTGCTAACTCCAGCTGCCACCTGCCTGGCCCAGCTGAGTCCTGGGCTTCCCCAAACTGCAGGGGACCGTCTCGCCCACTGCTGGCTGAAGATGGCAGTTACCCGCCAAGCTGAAGACGACACTGACACACTCCTCAGCAGTGCTGGGCCAAGAGAGCTCCCAAAGGCTTCCTCAGACTTGCCATCCGTTCTGGCTTCCTCCCCTCCCTTCAGGGAGGACTTGCTTTGCCTTCCACATCTAAGACTGACCCTCAGATGGACTGCACACAGTCCCAAGGGCAGGAAAGCTGCTGGGAGATCCACAGACCCATATTTTGGCTTAGAAAACTAATCATGTCTCCATATGCAAAAGTGAGGTTGGGCTGGGGAGGGCCTGCCAGGAGCAGAGCTGGAAATGCCTCTCCTCCCCGGGGGCGGGTGGGCTCACCTCCGATGACTCTCTCAATGGCCTGCTCAAAATGCTTCTGCTGGACAAAAGCACTCAGGTGGCGGGCAGCAATCAGGGCTGCTTCATTGCACACGTTAGAGATATCAGCACCTGACCAGGAAGAAGAGATGGTTAGTGCTGCCTGACAGCTACAGTGACACCCAGATGAGGTGTGCTCAAGGCAGAGGCCAGGGTTAGACTTTAGAGGAAAACTGCAAGGTAGCGGGAACCATTTCATCATTCGTCACTATTTTTAGCCAAATTTCCTGGTTAAACAACTTTACTAAGAAATAATTCACATACCATACAAGTGTGTATTTTACGCATACACGTCACTGGTTTTTAGTAAAATCAAACTGTGCAACTAGGGCACAATCTAGTTACAGGACACTGCCCATACCTGAGACACCCCATGCCTGTTCACACTTAATCCCACTCCCACCCATCCACCCACGGATCTGCATTCTCAGCATTTCCTATCACTGGGGTCATGTCAGATGTGGCTCTTCTGTGCCTGGCATCCTTCACTGAGCACATTTCACAGCTCCGTCTATGCTGTAGCAAATATGGGTACTTCATTTCTTGTTCTTTTTTCTATTTGATACAGGGGATTGAACTCAGGGGCGCTCAACCACTGAACCACATCTCCAGCCCTATTTTGTGTTTATTTTAAAGACAGGGTCTTTTATTTAAAGACTGAGTTGCTTAGAGCCTCACCATTGCTGAGGCTAGCTTTGAACTCACGATCCTCCTGCCTCAGCCTCCCCAGCCACTGGGATTATAGGCGTGTGCCACTGTGCCCCGCTGGGTACTTCATTTCTTTACAGATGAAAGCCGTCCTTTCCTATGCCCTTGTTCTTCATCTGCTCACCGTGAGTGGACACCGAGGTGGCTCTGCTTTTTAGCTGTCACAAATTACGATACTCTTGGCTCTTAAATATATGCTTTATCCACTTTGAGCTTGTTTTTCAATATGATGTCAGGTAGGGGGTCTAACACCTCCTTGGAAATCCAGTAGTCCCAGGACTTCTGTAGAAGGGACTAATCTTTCCCCCATAGAATGCACTTGGCACCTTTGTCAAAAACCAGCTGACCATAAATGCACAGGTGGGTTTCTATTTGGACTTTTTTTTTTCCCCCTCTATTTGGACTTTTAACTCCATTCAGTGGTCTATGTCTATCCTTGTGCCAGGACCACACTGTTGTTTGCCACACTTCTATAAGAAGTTCTGAAATAGGGCAGTGTGAGTCCCACTTTGTCCTTTTACAAGGGGTCCTCTATAGTTCTGCTTGAATTTTAACTTCTGTCCGCTGTACCTCCTCCTTCCCCCTGTGCACATGGTTCACAGACCACATCTTTATACACTGTGTGCTCATTAGCATTCATCTATAATGAGTTTCATGCATTTGTTTTTTAAATGCTATCAAAAAACTATAAACCCTAACGATACTGGCCTTGATTATCCTCCTTTGCTAGTGCCACTTCTTCACATGACTTCAGTCACTGTCATTGCTAACCTAAAGCCTGAAGCTTCCTCCAACATTTCTCACAGGGGAGGCCTACTAGTAAACTCCTTCATGGTCTTTAAAATCTACAACGTAACAGTTCCTCTTTCATTCTTGATACAGAATTAGAATTCTTGATATAGATATAGAATTCTCAGCTGACCAATTTTTCTTTCAATTTTTTTTTTAGTTGTAAGTGGACACAAAACCTTAGTTTTATTATTTTTAAATTTTTTTTTTTAGTTGTCAATGGACCTTTATTTTACTTATTCATATGTGGTGCTGAGAATCAAACCCAGTGCTTCACACATGCTAGGCAAGCGCCCTGCCACTGATCCACAACCAGCCCATTAATTTATTTTTTCGTGGCGCTGAGGACTGAACCCAGTGCCTCATACGTGCTAGGTAAACGCCCCACCACTGAGCCACAACCCCAGCCCCATGACACATTTTCTTCTGGCACCCTGTACCTCTTGTCAGTGCCTTCTGGCCTACACAGTTCCTGAAGAGAAGCTGGCTGTGACTCCCTCATTACATGCCTGTCTCTCCTGTTGCTTTCAAGACTCTCTCATGTTTGGCTCTTAACAGATGGATTATGATGTGTCTCCCTGGACCTCTTCTGAACCTATTCTTACTTCTGAGTTCAGAGTTTCTCAGATGTGCAGGTTCGGGTCTTATCCAGTGTGGGACGTTTTGAACCATTATTGCTCTGAACATTCTTTCTGCCCCAGGCCCCCAACTCTCCTGGAATTTCCACAATGCATGCTGGTCCCTGCAGCATGCACCACAGGCCCTTAGGCTTTGCTTTTCACCCTTGTTCCTTCTGCTCTATGGAGTGGTTAACTTCCTTTGCCGCAGCTCCAGTTTCTCTGGTTCTCCTCTGACTGCTCAGATCTGATGAGGCACTAAAGCTTACAAAAGGCTGCTCACACGGTGAGTAGGCAGGGAGCCCCTTGAAAGGTCCGCACCCATGCCTAGGGTTCAGACCACTCTGGCAGGAAAATAAGAATGTTATCACAAGAGACTGGGTTTCTGCTACAGAAACACAGAGGAACCATCCCAAAGTGTGATGTGTCTTCACTTCAGTTTTCCGTCCTTACTAAGTCTGAACAGGATTTAAAACAAACTCAAGCGGGCACCAATAGGCTGTGGGGAGAAGATGCTCAAGGCCTTTGAATGTCTTAACAGGTTCAATGTTCTACAGAGCAGAGTGGACACTTGCCAGGACCAAATACGAAGGCACAGAAAACACCTGCCAAATGCCACCAGTTGGGCGTACTTGGCTCCTGGCAGGGTGCACGTTCAGCCCAGCAACACTCACCAGTGAAGCCTGGAGTGAGTGCTGCCAGCTTCCTTGCCAGGGCATCATTCCTGAGGCTCTCATCCAGCTTGAGAGGACGCAGGTGGACCTTGAAGATGGAGGACCTGCCTTTGATGTCAGGGGGGCCTAGTGAAGAAACAGGGAGACACACACAAGCTCTGTGTTCACTGGACCTTCAGAGTAGGGTCCCCAACAGTCACCTCACACGACTGCAAGGCCAGCCAGGAGCACACTCTGCCACTGTCATCTGGCTGGAGCCAGGGTGCAATGGCAGGACAGATCAAAGTGCATGTGTGTTTAGCTCTTCAACTCAATGAAACACCCTAACTGCCTCGACCAACATTAAATCCAGTTCCAGGCCATGTAACCAACCAGGCAGCAAGGAAAATGAGCACTGCCCAGCTGCCCAGAGCACCCACATGGACTAGTGTCCCAGTGGGAAAGTGTCAGGGAAGACAAAGACAGCGGGTTGTCAGGGTGAAGGGCGAGGCACAAACTCTTTGTCTTCTAAACTATTTTTTTACAATATGGTACAAAAACAAAAGCTGGAGAGTACAAGTCTGCTACATAATGCCCACCTACATGCACTGCAGTGACATTTTGACATAATAACACAGCAGCACCATGGGGTAGTTGAGTATCTCCACATTTTCAAAATATTATCTTACTTACTTCAGGATCCCCATCAAAATTGTCTCCAAATATGTGGCGAACAATCTACCCAATTTCTAACCCCAGAGGCTGAGGACCAAACCCAGGTACCTAAGCAACTCACCAAGGTAAATCTGGCGATCAAACCGGCCGGGCCGCGTCAGGGCTGGATCAAGGATGTCAGGGCGGTTGGTGCCGGCCAGCACCACCACATTGGTGGTAGAGTTGAACCCTGGAGAGAGAACCGGTGAGCCCCAGGAAGACCCAAGCCAGCACATCTCCTTCCCTGCTGCTTCCCTCTGCTCACTCCACACCACACTGCAAGGGCTATCAGGCAGGCAGGAGGCCCTGCCCAGCTGGCTGGCCCAACCTGACTGAGGATCCTCTCTGCTTCCTGGGCAGTGTCACTCACCCTGGCTCCTGCCAGTCTGTCCCCTCCTGTGTCAGCTGAGTGCCTCTCTGCCAGCAGGAAGCCAGACATGCCTCAGCTAAATGAAGACTCTACAGCCCACCTCAGGGTCGTGGGAAGTCCCAGCACCTGGATCTCCTCACCACTCATTCCTGGTTCCCCCTGCCCAACCCCACATGATGCTCAGCAAGACCACAGTGCAGGACTACCCAAGGGTGGGCAAGGAGGAGCAAAGAACAGGGATGCCAACCAAGGAAGAGGGTACAGGATGGTGGCAAGGCGTCCACCCACTCCTGCCCACAGTCCTCTCCAGTCCAGCCCTCCAGAAGAGAGCACATTTGCTGATAGACTCTGAAGACAATAAAAAACTTTGGAAGCAATTTTGGCCTACACAGAAAAATAGGAACCCAGGCCTGACTGCTGTCCTCAGACAGGGCCACCTCTAACATCAGCAAATAGCCGATTCCTGGGGGATGCGACTCTAGGAGCACTCCCACCATCCCCTAGCAAGACAGGTTCCCTGTACCCAAATTGCAACAATGTGGTCTATGAACACCCGCCCTCCTCTGGAGCATCCTGTTATGTGCCAGACAAAGGGTGCCCACATGACCAGCATCCAGTGAAACCCTAGAGCCTTGAGTCTCTCACCGGCTCCCAGGTCAACACCACTTCAACGTGCTGTCACATTCCGGAGGACTCTGGAAGCTGTGCCTGGCCTTCCCTAGACCCCTAGACCTGTCCTATGTACCTTCCGCTTTGGTTTTTTTTTTTTTGGTACTAAGGATTGAACTCAAGTGCACTTAACCACTGAGCCATATCCCCAGCCCTTTTTTGAGACAGAATCTCGCTAAGTTGCATAGGGCTGTGCTAAATTACTGAGGCTGTCTTTGAACTCTTGATCCTCCCGCCTCAGCCTCCAAAGCCGTCGGGATTACAGGTTTGACTGCACCTGGCCCTCCTGGTTGTTTTTTTGCACGTACTTTCACTGCAAAAGAAACACAGCTTTTCAACTACAAGATCAGCTTGTGACTCTGGAAAAAAAATCAAAGTCAGGGGTGGTCTTAGGGACCCGACCTGACCCTCTAACCCTTTGAAGCCAAAGAGCCAATGAAAGCTTTTCCAAATTCAAAAAAACGGCATAAATTGGGCACAGTGACACCCTGTAACCAAAACTACCAAAGATGCTGAGGGAGGAAGATACAAATTTGAGGTCAGCCTGGGCATCTTACTGAGACCCTGTCTCGAAATAAAAAAATAAAAAGGACTGGGGATGTAGCTCAGTACCAGAATGCCCCAGTTGTACGAAAAAACAGAAGAAAAAGAAACACCTGGCCTATATGGTAAACATACCTCCCCGAGAAGGAAACACCCAGATATTGGGGGGGGTGGGAGGGGTGACAAGACACCAAGCAGGAAGAGCCCAGCTGTTTCTGCTCCATCCGAGGTGTGACTGACATTCGTCTGCTTGCTCTCAGCTGATTTTCCCCCACCCAGAGAAGCGCATCTGCCTCACTCTGCCCCTGCACAGTGGGGGCTGCTACATGGATCAATACGGCCTTCTCCACTGCGTGCCTGAGAGTGGCCTTCCTTAAAATAGAGGCATCGGGGATTCTCTGCCGAGGAGCACCCTTCCAGAAACAAGAGGCTAGAGGAGGGCCTCCTGCTAAGGGTCCACTCACCATCCATCTCCACGAGCATCTGGTTCAGCGTGTTTTCCTGCTCGCTCTGGCCTCCAAGGTGCCCGCGGCCTCGCTTCCTGCCAATTGCATCGATCTCATCAATAAATAAGATACAAGGAGCGTTTCTACGGGCCATTGCAAACATGTCACGAACCTAGAAGAGGAACCCAGAGTCTATTTTGTTACTCTCACACACACAGCGTAGCAACACATCCTTGACCCTGTCCTTCTGCTCTCACAGGTGGGATGTACTCAGCTTGTTGTCAGGGTCACACAGTCTGTTGCTAACAAGGTGACCAGTCCTCGTCAAGAAGTGGCTGGCACCTTCTGAAGCTGATCACCCTTTCACCTACCCTTGCTGGTCCAACACCGACAAACATTTCCAGGAACTCGGATCCATTCACAGTGATAAAGGGCACACTGGCCTCTCCTGCAGTCGCCTTGGCAAGAAGTGTTTTGCCAGTACCGGGTGGACCTGTCAGCATGGCTCCCTGCAACAAAGAAGAGACACTTGGCTCTCAAAGGGAACAGATGGAACATGAACCCCACTTCCCACTCAGCTGACTAGAAATCTGTAACATGGAACATGGAAGCCCGCGTAACCTAACTCAGAAGAACTCCAGAAGCAGAGCTGTTGGGTCAAGGGCCGGAATACATTCTGAGGTTTATCACCAAGCTGCTCTCACGCCCACCAGGCGTGAACCACGACGGCCATCTGGCTGGAACTGTGCCACAGCAAGACTATCCAGCTGTGCTGCCTTGTTGGTCTGAAGGGCACAGCTCTCTTTAAAGGCACTTCTGCAGGTATCCAGGTTAGACATCTGTGTGTTCAATGTGCTCTTCTACCTTTTTCTTACCTTCTTCTATTCAAGCTTAAGATTTAAATTCAATTCACACCAGGGCGGTGGCACAACTGTAATCCAAAAACTACTCAGGAGCCTGAAGCAAGAGGGTTACAAATTCAAGGCCAGCCTCAACAACTTAACAAGACCTTATCTCAACATAAAAAGGGCTGGGATGTGATTCAGTGGTAAAGCTCCTTGGGTTTGATCCCCAGTACTGGAAACAAAACAAAACACGATACTAATTCACGTTCCTGTAACACAACTCCATTTTTATTTTATGGATTACAGTTATATCTGAAAACTGAAAGGAAACTTACAGGGTGGGGATGGACTGCTCCATTTCTAGTCAAGAATGCTGGATTGCAGCTGAGCATGGTGGCATTCTGAGGCTGAGGCAGGAGGACCACAAGTTCAAAGCCAGCCTCAGCAACTTAACAAGGCCCTAAGCAACTTAATGAGACCCTGACTCAAAATGAAAAATAAAATGGGCTGGGGATGTGGCTCAGTGGTAAACTGCCCCGGGTTTAACCCCTAGTACCAATAAGAAGAATGCTGGGTTGCTATCAGATCTTTTTTTTATTGTTTTGTTTTTGTTTTGTGGTACTGGGGATTAAACCCAGAGGTACTCTACTGCTGAGCCACACCCCTAGCCCATTTTTATTTTGAGACAAGGTTTTGCTAAGTTGCCCAGGCTGCTCTTGAACTTGTGATTTTCCTGCCTTAGCTCCAGAGTTACTGGATTACAGACATGAACACCACATCCAGCTGTTAAACCCACAAGATGTGGAGCCCTGCGCCCTCCAAATGTGGTCACAGAGCACTTCCTTTTCCATGGCACATTTGGGTCTGATACATAATAGCCCACAACATGGATGATCTTTATATGCCATGGGACAGGACACAAAGTCTCAGGAGCCATCCTTGCAGGCATAAGAACATTCTAGGGGCAGGATATATCCATGGCATGCCATGTCCTATTCCTATGCGCAGGAAACACATCTACGTGACTGTAGTCAATTCTTCATGACAGACTCCCAGCAGGGGGCAGTGATGATTTGGGGAAACCAGCCTATAATGTAGCACACAGGCTGACAGAAGCTTCCACTCGCAGGAGCCCAGCCTGGCTGACAAGGGAGACTCATACTCGAGGTGACAGGCCTCCCTTGGAACCTGACTCCTTTACCCACTCCTTCCAGCAGACACATTTTCCCCAGTAAATCCAAACACCCAGAACCAACCATATAAAATAAGTGTGAGACACACCCACTCTAGCACCTGGCTGTCAACAGAGGTGCAAGGCAGCTGGGTGGCGACTTGGCAAAGTTCCACCAGGAAGCAGAAGGCAACCATTCTGCACCTGCCACACCCACATGCTTTCTGGCCCCAACACACACCAACTGTAAAACAGACACATCCAGTGTCCTGGTTGGAATTCCTGGTTCACAATGGTTGCTAATCTTTTTGTATATTAATCACAATAAACTGTCCAGTGGTGCCCAATGTGTAGGGAGGAATTGGGGGAACACAAAGCTACTGAAAGGGCTTAAGTGTCATCTAAGAACCACCTCAACCAGGAATTTCTAGCCTGGTCCAGAGAGCAGAGAGGACTTGAAGTTTCTGTGACCACACAGGATACCAATCTTCCTGGTAAAAAAATCCAAGCTTCCATCGAGCCCTAAATGGGTCCATGACCACACAAAGGCACCAGTGGACTGACTGGCCCTCTGTACTGCAGCCAGCTTTGCCAGGGCGGTTTCCTCTCAGGACACCCAGGCTGCCACCAGCCCCAGGATACACGGCTGTCTGGCTGCATACTCCTGCACCGTGCTGTCCACCAGCTTTCCAGAGAGCTGTGTCTGCCCCCAAACCTGACCACAGAGGCTACTTGTTCTAACTTTGTAAGTTGATATTACACAAACTAACAAAACAGAGTTTTTTTAAACTCCTTCAAAATCTAAGGTGAAGGCTGGGCTGTGGCTCAGTGGCAGAGCGCTTGCCTTCCATGTGTGAGGCACTGGGTTCGATTCTCCGTACCACATATATAAACAAAATAAAGATATTATGTTTATATATTACTAAAAAGAGGTTTTTATAAAAAAAAAGTAAATAAAGTAAGGTGAAAGCTCTGAATAATTAAAAAATAAAGGAAATTTGTCTTATAAAATGTTTTCAAGTTGCATAGATAAGAAAAGTATGACAGAATGCACGAAAATACACAGGTACTGCCTCAGACTGCACCTAAGCAAGTTCTTGCTTCTACTGAGAAAAAAAAACTTGCAGAAAATATGTGGTTCAGCCAGGCATGGTGGCACACACCTGTGACCCCAGCAACTTGGGAGGTTGAGGCAGGATGATCTCAAGTTCAAGGCCAGCCTCAGCAACTTAACAAAGCCCTAAGCAACTCAGCGAGATTCGGTCTCTAAATAAAAAATAAAAAAGGTTGGGGATGTGGCTCAGTAGTTAAATGTCCCTGGGTTCAATCCCTGGTAAGAAAAGAAAAGATGTGGTTCACACAGGACAATTCAACAGAGGTGCGACTGGGGAGGATGGAACTCAGGGGCACTCAACCACTAAGCCACATCCCCAGCCCTTCGTATATTTTATTTAGAGACAGGGCCTCACTAAGTTGCTTGGGGCCTCACTAAATTGTTGAGGCTGGCTTTGAACTTCAGATCCTCCTGCTTCAGCCTCCTGAGCTGCATAGATAAGAAAAGTATGACAGAATGCACGAAAATACACAGGTACTGCCTCAGACTGCAGTGCCACCACATGTGGCATGTGCCACCACACCCAGTTTAACAAAGGATTTTGATCCCTGGAACTAAACTCAAAGCAATGACTGGCCTCTAAATGAAGACCAGTAAAGGAATGTATATTTGTGTTTTAAATTTTAAAAAAAGAAACAAACAAAAAAATCACACATATTCCCATGTCCATTTCATAGACCTAACATTATAGAATTTTAGGACTTGTGGTCTCAAGCCTAACAGATAAGAGGATTTTTTTTTTATTATTGTTTTTTGCATTACAATTCTTAATACACCTTTATACCACAATTTATCATATCTCTGTATACAAGATAAGAGGATTTTTACTGTTCTGTTCTACAAATTTCCATCCTCTATTGTTATTAATAAAATATAAACTCAAGGAAAAATCATTTGTCTGATATTCATTCTTTGAACAACAGCAATCTTTGGCTTTGACTTGGAACTCAGAGCATGACTGTTTTCTGAAATCAGTACCTTTGGAATTTTGGCTCCTAAGTCCTGATACTGCTTGGGGTTCTTCAAGAAATTCACAAACTCCATAATTTCCAGTTTGGCCTCTTCACAGCCAGCCACATCTGCAAACCGCACATTGATGTCGTGCTTTAGGATCTTGGCTGTTGTCTCACCAACGCTGAAGAGGCCCCCTCCTCGTCCGCTGCGCCCGGCCCCCATTGGACCCCTTCTCACAGCATAGAGCAGGATGCCAACCAGGAGAAGAGTAGGCACCAGGCTTCGCAGGAAAGAGCTGAGAACCAAGGAGACCATTCATCATGTCAGCAGCATCACCTTCAGCAGGAAGAGTAACCCACTCTAGGATTTGCTGCACAAAAGGGCAGTTTCTTCTGGAAGAGTGTCAAGGTCTGTCTATAAATTCGGCCTCCCCAGTTCTAAGAGCACTGATGCCCCAACCCACATCTCCCCCAGAAGGAGCTGCAGACCCCATGCAGCTCCTCACAGGTGAGGTCCACAGACCAGTCCCATCACAGCACCATACTTGCTCCTACACTCTCCAGAGGCCCAATCCCACCACCCCTCAAGGTGGCTCTAGTCACCGTCAGCTCCTAGAACACACCTCAGCTCCAACCAGTAGACGTGGCAACTGAGCCAGTAAGAACAAAACCCCAGTCACCATACGCAGCAGTACCCCAAGGAACACTCAGGAGCTGCACCGGGAGACTGAGGCCCCGCAGGCCTCCCCACCAGCACTTGTAAGTCACCTCCAGAGCCCTGTCTGCCTCACTGCTAGGGTGTGACTGCCGTCTCCCCCAACTGTATAAGGTGAAGGCCATTCAAGAGGCAACTGATGGTGAGAGCTGGGCCCTCAGGAAGGGATTAAGGTCACCACAACAGAAGTTGTGGGGGATGGATCAGTCATAAAAATGGCAAAGTTCAGTCCTACCCTCCCTCTCATCCTCTCTCCCCAGCACATTATGATGCAGCAAAGACCCTTGCCCAGATATGGCCCTTCAGCCTTGGACTCCAGACTGTAAGACAGTTTCCTTTCTTTACAAATTACCCACTCTCTGGTCTTCTGTCACAGCAGCAAAAAATGGTAAGGCACTCACCTTCCTCGTTCTCAGTGCAGTTCCCACTCTGCCCTGTCTAGAAGAAACCAACTAAGCCATCACCACACCGACCCTTCATACCCTCCTGGCTACAGCTGGTGCTGAGCTCAAACTCTACCCACTCAGTTTCCAAGCCGGAGGAAGGGCCAGAGCAATGATGTCCCTAAGTAGCAAATATGAGAGCAGGACCACACTTGTGTGCTGTCCTGGGATGCACACAGGAGCACTAGAGATGGGTCTGCCCTCAAGTCCACAAGCACGGCAGGAACACACTGGGGGTGGAATGCAGGTTCAGAGAGCAAGCTGACGCAGGATCTGTGGGAAGCAAGTCTGTCTGTGTGCAAGTGAGCAGAGACTGCTCACCTGGATCTTTTTTTTTTTTTTT